GCGCTACCGCCTGAGCCACATCCCCAGCCCCAGAGCAGTTCTTTACAAAGAACAAATATTTTGTTTTTCACTCATTATTCAGTCATAGACAATGCTGAACATTGGCAAATCATAACCTCCTTATATGTTAAAGGCCTTATGATTTCCTACAAAAGAATGTACTTTAAAGAACTTTAGCCATCACTCTTTGTTGGAACATTTAAATTTTCTTCAGTGTGGTTTTAAGGACATCCTTGTTTGTGTATCCTCACCTGTTTACTTAAGTACCCAGGGGAAGGCATTCACCTCTGGAAGTAATTCAAATAGGCAATACTCTAAAATTTGATTATTTTTAAAATGATTGGACCATTAGAATAAATTTAATTTTTTTTTGAGAGAATTTTTTAATATTTATTTTTAGTTTTCGGCAGACACAACAGCTTTGTTTGTATGTGATGCTGAGGATCGCACCTGGGCCGCACACATGCCAGGCGAGCAGGATACCACTTGAGCCACATCCCCAGCCCCCACTAGAATAAATTTAGATTGTTATCTAGAACACATGTGGCATTACATTGTAGTGATTACCTTGTGACTTTTTATTTAATGACTATTTCCTCAGCAATCATTGACTTATGAATGAGGAGACCCACTCTATTATTCGTAAAGACATGCTTTTCATGCATTCTCACTTAATCCTTACCACGAACATTCCAAGAGATAGTATCACCTTTTCAAAGATGAGAGATTTGAAGTCCTAAAGGGTTTGAAATTACAACTAAGGAGTTCAGATAGGATTCCTGCTTAAATTGCCCAACTCAAAAGCTCTTCATTTTACCATAGAGAGGGGCAACAAAGCATACAGGTTTAGTGAAACACAATGCATGGTAGAATTCTAGCTCTGCTACTTTCTACTGCCTTTATGATATTAGATGAATTATCTCATCTTTCTGTGCCTGTTTCCTGATATTAGATGAATTATCTCATCTTTCTGTGCCTGTTTCCTATGACTAATAATAACACAGAATAGGGACCGTTATTATGATTAAATATGAGTTAATCAACTAAGCCTCAAGTACATGTAACTGAAAGCTCGGTCCTTGTCCTTGAAACCAATACAATAATGAAGACAAGGTCTTGAGAAAAAGGAAAAAGCTTTATTGCTTTGCTAGCAAAGGAGAAACACAGGGGACTCCTGTCCCAAAGACTGTGATTCTGCTCATTTGCAGGAACAGGAGGCTTTTCTTTCTTTCTTTTTTTTAATGTTTATTTTTTAGTTGTAGTAGAACACAATACCCAGGGCCTCGCGTGTGCTAGGTGAGCGCTTTACCACTGAGCCCCAGCCCCAGCCTGAGAGGGGGCTTTTATAGAGGTGATTCAGAGAAAATGAGATCAGGGAGGAGAGAACAGGGAGGAGAAGATCAGGGAAAAGAAGATCAAGAAGATCAGGGAGGAAAAGTTTAAGGAAAAGAATATCAGGGAAGATCAGGGAAAAGAAGAGCAAAGAGGAGGTCAGGAAGGAGAAGGTTACAGAAAAGAAGATCGGGA